AAAAAAAAAAAAAAAAAGGTACCAAGAAACTCAGTAAAAAAGAAAGAGAAAGAAAAGAAAAGTTCCTAATCTTACTCACGTTTTCCATTGGGGGGGCCTGATGAAAACAGCACAGACAGAAATCACTGTCTGAACTGCCTCATGCCTCGGTTTCCCCATCTGTACCTGAGCATCAGAAGACTCCCTGCCTCTGAGTCCGCAACTGGCTTCTCCAGGACCAATCCCTCCTCTCCCGGAGCGGCCTGGAAGATGGTCCCTGTCCCAGGGGGTGCCGGAGCATGAGGACCGCTGGACACTTGGTGCAAACACTAATTCCAGGGCCCTACTGGCTTTTGGCGAGAGGGTCGTGGGGCTCAGATAAGGGTGCTAGGTCCCTCCCTACCAAACAACTTCAGAGGCCACTGGCTGCAAACGGCGGTGATGATGCACGGTAATCCCACCCCTGGCCAGCACTCGCGTGGATCCTACGTGTGCCGGGCCCTACGCGGGGCACTGTGTACATGAGCTCACCACACGCCTTGAGGTGGAGTCCGCTATGATCCGGGCTCAAAGAGGCTCAGAGACGCAGGCGAGGACCCACTTCTGGTCTGTGGCGAGCAGGAGTCCCGAGCTTCAGAGCCCAGTCCACTCCAGGGCTACCTCACCCTCCATTCAGACAGGCGGCGCTGGCTGGCAGGTGGCGAGCTCTCCACGCCTGTCAGGTAAGGGCGTCTTACTGCTCTGTCAGTCACAGCGCTGCCTGGGCCTGGAGGGCTCGCTGTCCTCTTGCCAAGGTTAGCAGGTTTCTTGGGTCAACAGCCCGCGGCTCCCCTTCATCTTTCCCGTGTTGTACTTACACTCGCCGATAGGTGGCAGTAGCCTTTCGCTTTTGTCCCATACAAATCTGTATGAAATGATTCGAGGTCGTTCCTGCAAAGAATAGGGGACTGGATTTTCCTTCTTCAAGTCCTTTTGGCCCTGAGTTTGTTGAGAGGCTACATAAAATGTGCAGTGATCAGGATCCTATAACCCCAAATCTGTGGGATAGAAAAGTTTATCTCGTTCTGCTTAGGGAATATGTCCCTCAGCCCCAAGATAGCTCATAACCTGGAGCACTTATCTGATGTGTCCCTCAAATACAAACCAATTAAAATTGGGCAATGGGTGCTTATAGTTGTTTAACCTTTTAAGAGCTAAATTTAGATAGAGGCATCATACATGTGTATGTGTAAATATATTGTTTTACCCACACACACTTTTATTTGTGACCTTGGCCAAGACATCTGAGCTGTGTGACTCAGTTTCCCATTCTGAGAATTTGGAATGATACTTTGTGACAAGGAAATTCATTGCCCTACAAGCGAAGCTCTTATACCAGTGTCCCAACACACACTGGCACTCAACAAATGTTACTATGCTTATTAAAATCATTGTCTATTTTTATGCACAGCACATTCAAACCCTACTTGTTCTTGCTAGCAGCAGCACTTAATTTCTCAAGTGGCTCCATGCCCTTACTTGCAAAACGGGTACATATTACACAGGATTATCCTAGGCAGGGTAACTCAACTTCCTGTAGTGATTCACAGAGAAAATATCACAAGTTTGCAAGCCACACTTTCTGCAAACACACTGTCACAGAGATTAGACTCCGTTGTGACAGCAAGAAAGCACCCATGGACAATATATAAGTATATGGGCATTGTTGGCAGGAATGGTGGCAATTGCCTGTTATCCCAGCTACTCCAGAGGCTGAGGCAAGAAGATCGCAAGTTCAAGGCCAGCCTGGGTAATTTAACAAGATGCTGCCTCAAAATTTAAAAAATATATATAATAATAAGTAAATTTAAAATGTTGGATATGTAACTCAGGGCCCCCTGGGTTCAATCCTAGTACCACATGATAGATAGATAGACAGGCAGGCAGGCAGGCAGGCATGGCTGGCTCCAATACAACTTTATTTATGAATGTTGAAATTTGACTTTCATATAACTTTCATGTATCACACTTTGAGATTTTTCTTCCACTTTCTTTGGACCATTTACAAACATAAAGCCCATCTTTAGCTCACTAGTGATCCTGGAGCGAGCTGAATTTGGCCATTGCTATGACCTTGGTCTTGAAGACTCAATAGTATATTATATTCATAATGCCCCAGGTATAGATGGAAAGTGATAATCTACTGTAAGTATGCACATTATGGATTTTGTAAACAGGAAACATTGCAAAATAATAAGCATTCCATTGATGTCAGCAGTGCTCAGCTTTATTATAGGATACAATTAGAAAATACATAAAATCCCCAGAAATTATTATGTACCAAATTCCCCCGGAGAGCAGGTGAGGTGATGAAATCCATGGCCCTTTCTTGGCCTCTCTAATTTCCAGTTATTCACAGTGTCTATTATAAGGGAATAAAAATTCGTACCAAGAGCAGGAAGCTCACTGACACATTGGTCAGTCCTGGTTTTTGTTCTGAAGCCGGGGAAAGCACAGGGCTGATGGATCAGGCTTCCGGGGGCCTTGTCGGCATTGACTGCGCATGTGCGAGGAACCTTTGGCTCCAAGATGGCGGCCTGTGGAGTTGGACCCATCGGGCAGAATGGCGACCTGTGGAGTCGGGCCAAGGGTACAGCTTCTGAGAACAGACAGAGCAGGCCAGGTCCTCAGTGGGTCACGTTGCAGATGTGCGTCCCTGGGTGACCTCTGGAAGCTCACTTCCCTCCTTCGGGGGACCTGATGCTGGAGTACCCCAGGGGGAGGCACACAGCGCTGCGTCTCCAAATAGCAACCTGCTCAGGTCAGTGAACCTGTGAGCTCGGCCTCCTCCTCGTAGGGAGAGTGAGGAGCTGGGAATACGCGGGAGGCTGCGACAGGAGCCAATGTGGGCAAAGCGCCTGGAGTCACAAACGCAACGGCTCTCACCATCATCTTTGTCGCAAGAATCTTGAGAGGTGTAGTGAGAGGGCAAAGGTCATTCCTTCCCTTCAACTGAGACACAACCCGAGCTCCTAACACTGCTAACGCAACAGGACGTGCAGAGTTGGAAATGGCTCTGCCTCTCACCTGATGGCACTCACAGTATTTTGAGGAAAAAGACATAAATATTGCATTTATCCCTCCAATTCTGGGATGGTGACCACACCGGGGGTCATCCTGAACCTGTACTACTCAGCACTGCCAGCCCTGCCCTCTACCAGGACACTACCAATTCGCATTTACTCAGAGCATGAAGCCCTGAGTGATTTGGTTTCATAAATACAAGTGCTATTTATTATGCGTCAGGCATTGTTCTGACCTCATCATAAGCATTATGCATAGATCCTTGTTGTGATCTTATAAAGCACAGAGACACCAGTCAACTCTGGCAAAGACTCACAGCTATGAAGCGCAGCAGTCTGGCTCTAGCTTCTGTAATTGTAACCCCTGCACCTTGAACTCTTGGGGATAGCCTGTTTATGGATTTATTTTCCATTTGTTCATTGTCTCTCCACCTGCACACTTTCAGCTCTGTGAAGTCAGTGAGCCTGTTCTGCTGAATTCATAGCAGATAACCTTTGTGCCTGGCACAGTCTTAAGCCTTAGCTGCAGAGTTATGATCCGTGTGTCTTTGTTGGCTCAGTGATTGAATGCAAAGGTATCCAAATAAATATGTAATTACAAGTAGTGTTCAGCACTATGAATAGATGCCAGTACTCTGATAGCTATAAATCCAGCTAAAGGGGAACAAAACTTTATTATCTTTAATATACTTCTCATGACAATAAATGCTTCTGCCCCAGCAATGAAATGCAGTTGAAATTTGAGGCTACCTTGGACTTTAATTCTGTTGCATAGAAGGATTCAAACTCTCCTCTCCTCCCCCAAAACACCTATCACCTGGGCATGTGACAACAACGTCCCCGAGAAACTTGCCAGGTCTGTGCACCTGAGCATCACATGTGGGTGTAAGACTTCGGCCTGGCTTTGGTTTTGATTTCTTTCTCGCTCCCTCACTCTTTTTTTGTTTGTTTGTTTGTTTGTTTGTTTCTTGATTGCAGGAACGATGGGTAACCAGATGAGTGTTCCACAAAGAGTCCAAGATGAAGAGCACGAATGCAAAGCAGGCACTTACAAGGTAGTACAGTGGCTGTGCCTGGGGCATTGTTACTCACAGGGGTTCTGGGAAGATCAAGCGGCCGCCCACCAGGTTGGGCGTGGGCGACAGGTGCTCTTCTCAGTGTTGTTCCACCGTGGTTGGATCTCTGGTGTCCACCACAGCATGGGTTAGAAATGCAGCTTCTGAGGTGCCACATAAGAACAAAGCAGGAATTGCAGAGCTGGGAATCCTAGGGAGCCAGTGTCTCTAAGAACCTCCACGGGCAGTACCCAGGAAGCCGGTCAGGTGCCTGCTCCCAGGTAGGTTCGCAGCTGTAGGATTCTGTCTCCCCGCCACACTCCCCTTCAACTGCTCCCCCTGGGGATGGACTTTTGGCTGTGTCTGGAAACGTTTTTGATAGTCACAACTCAGGGAGGTGGACTGTAGCATTCAGGCCCAAAAAGCTGGCGCTGCTGTGGCACCACTACGGTGCACACAGGACAGTCCCCTCACCGTGCCCGAGAACGTGCCAGCCCCGAAAGTCCATTGCTAGGATGAGAAGCCCAGTGTTAGCTCAGTAGCTCGAGATCTTAGCTGCACATTAGAGACCCCTAGGAATCTTTCAAAACTTTGAATGCCTGAGTACGCCTGTAGACCAAACAAACCAAGACTGTGTGGGACTGAGGCAGGCTGAGTGATCAGAAAGCATCTACTGTGAGGGCAGACAGTCAAGGTCAAGAATGGCTACTTAGGGAGCCCCTTAGTCGTCTGCTCTGGAGAACTGAGGCCCCCAAACCCAAATACTTCTTTTTGGATCTTCTACATGCAGAAAGCAGAAAGCCTGAATTTTTTCCCTCAGGGCTTTTTATATTGATCCAGCTCACAACTTGGAGCATTGCTAACTATGGAAATCCCCACAGGAGAGGTAGCTATGAAATAGTATTGATCATACGGCAGAGGGAATTTCTGTGCAGAATAGAAGGCTGCACCTGAAGAAATCAGTGGCTTAGAAATGGAAACGCGGACAGGATGGGCCTCAAACCGCATGTTAGCATTCCCTGGGACGCTTTGGAAACTCCGGTGCCGGGCCCCACCCAACCACCGTCGCAGCCTCTGGTGGTGGGGCGGGCACCAGTCATTTCTTGCGCTCCCTGAATGATTCCAAGCCCAGCTAAGTCTGGTCACACTGGGCTTCCCGGAGCCAGGCAGTAAGAAAAGGAGTAGCCACTGCCAGCATGCCTGGATCTTCGTGTTGCCCTGGAAACTGGACAACAGCACTAACCAAATCTCCTGGCTGTTAAATATTGGCAAGCGGTGCTAAAGCCCTTCAGGAAATTGTGGCCCCCGAATCTCACATTGCACAGGTACTGACCTGAGAACACCAGTCATTGTGGTGGGGCCACAATTTGATGTTTACATCATAGCTATGTCTTGGGAGGGTTAATGATAAACCCAAGAACATGGAGTTATTTTAAATAATTACAATCATTGCAAAAATATAAGTAAAGGGAAATTCTTCTGTATCCACCCTGGAGGTTCTTACCGTTAGGACTTGGTATTCAGGTTTTCACTTTTCCCCCCTCCCCATATTTATTAACATATATTCTTAGTGTTAATAGAAGTAGCAGGGCTGGGATTTAGCTCAGTGCTTCCACCACTGCCTGCCTCATAAGCACAAGGCCCCAAATTCGATCCCCAGTACCAAAAAAAATTGTAATAGCAAAGTAGAGCATTATATGCACTTAATGTATAATTGACATTCAACTAATGTTTGTTTGTTTGTTTTGCAATACTGGGGATAATCTATGACTGAGCTACATCCTCAGCCCTTTCTATTTATTTGTTATTTTCTATTTTGATCCTTTTCTTTTGTTGTTTTGTAATGGGGATCAAACTTGAGACCTTGCACTTGTGAAGCAGGTGGCAGAACCACTGAGCTAAGTCCCCAGCCCTGTTATTTTCTATTTTGAGACAAGATCTTGTGATCCTCCTGCCTCAGCCTCACAAAGCGAGGTTAAAGCATGTGTCACCATGCCTAGCTGCAATATACTCTTTTGCAAATACTTTTCTTTCCTTGTAAGCATGTATGCGTGTGTATACATGTCTTACATGGTCCTTTTAAATATCTATAATGAAGAACAGAAAAGAAAACAATCAAGGCAATAACCTAAAATTGGAAAGAAACTGCAGCCGTGCAGATGGAGGGAGGGAGAATGGAACAGAAATACACACACGCTCACATGCGCACACACACACACACACACACACACACGAGCCTGAACTTCCTGTATTTGACAAGTTTGCTGAGCAAGCTCCTGGCTGGTATGTGTGTGTGCGCGTGTGTGTGTGTGTGTGCGCACATGTGTACTGCACGTGGCTTAAGTCTGTGCCCTCTACACGTGAAAAGAGCGAGGTCTGCAAACTGGCCCATTAGGTTCTCACTCTGCCCCAGCTGCACAGTGCCGAGCTTGGCCTCAGGGTCCCATCTCCGCTATGGGGTGCGAGTGGCCTCCGCGGGTGCTGGGCTGCGGCTCTGCGGTGAGTCAGCTCCTTACTCCGGGCAGTGTACAGAGCCGCGCAGTTTCTGAAGGCACAGCCTCTAAGTGAAGCTTGTTCTGAGGGTCCCGGGCTGCTCCTCCCTTGTCTTCTTCCATTTCCCCCGAAGACGACCGGTACCCATTGTGTTGCAGGCGGCATCGGACAGCGAGTGCAGCCAGAACGGGACGCCAGTGGTCATATCGGCGTGTACCGTCCAACACTGCAGTGAAGGTCAGTGCAGCGGGCAGGGTGGCGGGCCCTGGGGCGCGGGCCCTTTGGTTCCGGTTATGCCAAACAAACTGGAGCGAGAAGCTACAGGCTCCCTTTGGGCCCTCGCTTGTGTTCATCTCCTGGGGCCACTGTCGCAGAAGCGTCAGGAATTGGGGCAGCTTTGAAACCTAAAAGTCTCACCTCACGGTGCTACAGCCAGAGGTGCAGAGCCCAGGCAGGCACGGTTGGACCCATCCCAGGCCGCTCTCCTGGCTGTGTGTCTGCACCCTGCGTGTGTCTGTCTTGGGGCCCGGATCCCCCCTTTGACAAGGACACAGTCACATTGGGTCAGGGCCGTCCTCATGACCTCATCCTGACTTGGTCATCCACAGCGTGTCCCAGCTGCACACAGGGATGCAAACGCCAGGGACTGCAAGCGTGTGTCCATTAATGGAAATCCATCTTCTTTAAACATCCTGTTTCCCAAGAGCTCACATTTGCAGGAATTAGGCTTTCAGCATCTCACCAGGATACAATACAACTCATCCTTTACCGGGCATGGTGGTGCACACTTGTAGTCCCAGCCCTTCGGAGACTGAGGCAGAAGGATCACCATGAGTTCAAGGACAGACCTGGGCTACATAGCAAGACCTGCCCCCCAAAATAATAAGATAACAATAATAATAATACAATCCATTCCAGTATTGGTCTCTTCTGAGTGTGTAAGACAGCTGCGAGAGACTAAGGATTTGCAACAGATAAGGTAAAAGCAATAGAGTGAAAACCCTATTAGCTTTTAGAGTCAGACAGACCTGGCCCTGCTTGGCAGCTTCTTGACTATATGACGTGTGGTGACAGGTGTCACTTGTGTTACCTGAACCTGTTGCATTTCAGAGACTCAGACCGTCTTAGGGGTGGAGCTCATTGCCCCTGCAGCTCAGTGCAAGGCACCCTGTGCATCCTGTCCACATGCAGACTTTGGCAAATTACAAAGGAGAAACAGAATCCCCGATGGTCCAGAGATTTGAAGGCATAGAAAATGCAACCTCACCACTGACCTCCAGGCTGATCCCAGTTGGTCATCCTGGGAGTAGAAGGTGGCATCACTGAGGAAGATGTGAGCCAGGCTGGTGCCACAACCGCTACAGAGAGCGGGGCCTTGGAAGAGGCAGGACAAGGCCCAGAATGGCTTATCTTCTCCACCTAGGAGCTGACAGGAGGAGAAAAGGCCCAAGACTCCAGTTCAGGGGAGGAAACACCCAAAAGGCATCTCACCATCTCAGGAGAGAGATGTTTTCTGGCTTGATCTTTGCAAATGTCCTGCACCTTCTCCCTCAGGACTAGACGGCAAAGGATTAGCATAAAGCCACGCTCTGTGAATGCATAGATAACGCAGCTGTCATTGCATTAGCTCTGTTCTTCGGCGACACAAGCATGGCTTAAGAAGGTGCAGATACAAGGGGAGAGAGCCTGTGTTACTGCCTCACTCGGGTGGCTCTGCATTGTGGGGCAGGGGCCGCAGAGGCTCCCAGGACTCCACAAGGCACTGCAGTCAGAGCACAGAGGATCCTGCCCTCAAGTGTCCGCTCATAGCCTGTGTCTGTGCTCCCCATTTGAAAAGCATGTTTTCCTCATCTCTCTCCAGAGCCAATTTTTGCCTCTTGGAGTCAAAAGCATCCCACCAAGAGTTCCAGTACTGGAGCATGCATTTGTTTACAGAGCGGGAGGGCACACGAGTGTGGCGCCCAGGACACCCTTCCTCCTTCCTGCGACGAGCTAATCCCCAGAACACCTACCTGTGTCACCTTCCAGGCAAAAGCAGATGGGATTAAGGGTTTTGAGCTGCAGGGATGATCCTGGATCGTCCCAGTGGACCCAGTGTAAGCACTGCAGCAGGAGGGACAGAGTAGGGAAAGAAGATGTGACAGGAGCAGGTGTCACGAAGGGAGACTTGAAGATGCTCCACTCTGACCTTGAAGGCACAGGAGGGGGCCACGAGCCAAGGATCACAGGCAGCTGCTGGTGCTGAAAAAGGCAAGGAAGCTGGTTATCCCAGAAGCTTCTAGAACATGGCCTCTTGACATAGGACCTCTGACACAGGACCTGTAAGATAATATATTTCTGTTGTGCGTGGGCACACAGTGACAGCCCTTGTTGCACTTGTTACAGCAGTGACCCGGTGCAGGGGTCTAACACACTTCGGCCTGTGTCCTGGCTCTGCTGCTCGCTAGCTGTGTAACCTGGAAGGAATTTGTGTTTCCCAGCATTCATGGTGAAAGGAGAAGAATGACTCTGCCCTCAGGAGGGAGCTCTAGGGAATCTGTGCTGACCGGAGGAGTCTGGATGGGAGAGGGAAGTTCACTGCCGCAACCCCGGCTGTACCTGTGCCTGACCGGGGCCTGACCGGACTTTACCACTGTGCATTTATGCCTAAAATGCCACAGATCCTTGGGGAAATAACAGCGCCTCGTTTTTCTCCTTCTTTGATTCTTTTCTAGCAAATTTATCATGTTAGTCCTGTCTTTTTTTTTTTTAATTGCTTTTTCCTCACTGCTTAATGGATGGCAGAGACCAACGCGTGATTTATCCCCCAGAAGATGTCTTTTTTCAAAAACAGAAGAATGTCTCTGTTGCACCTGATAAGAAGTTTCTAAAATTAATCTCTTCCTTTTTATTCTTCAAAAGAAAAATTGCCTAATTTTACTTTCTTTAAAATGTATATGTAGATAGATAGATAATTTTATTGAATTGAAAAGTGCTCCCCGGGCACGGTGCTTCTGCTACACTGTGCTGAGAGCAGAAACATTTGCCCCTGACCCCTGGGTGAAGCATCACGGGCGACCAGTGCCAAAAATCATAGCTACTGCCGAGTGTGGTGGCCCACACCTGTGATCCCAGCTCTGTGGGAGGCTGAGGCAAGAAGGTCACAAATTCAAGTCCAGCCTGCACGACTTAGCAAGACCTTGTCTCAAAACTGAATTAATAACAATATAATAATAATAATAATAAAGGACTGGGGAGGTAGCTCAGTGTGAAGGCCCTAAGTTCAGTCTCTAGTCTGAGAGTGGGGAGGAGATGGAAGGGTACAGAGAAGCATCGATTAAAATCAGCGTCCCTTTGACACCCACACTTACCCTTCCATGGGTCTGCTGTTTTGTTGCTTTTCAGACAGGGTCTCCCTAAGTTGCCCAGCCTGGCCTCAAACTCATGACCCTCTTGCCTCAGCCTCCCAAGTAGAGGGGATTAAGGCGTGGGCACTGTGCCCCGCTCTAGTGGGACTTCAATACAAAGACACGGGTCCTGGAAAGCACAGTGGTCATCTTCGTGTTTGTAAGAGACCCAGAGCCAAGCACAGGACCCACAGCACCATGGCCGTAAGTGGCCTCCCAGGGCAGCCTGACTGCGGGACTCTCAGTTTAGATTTCCCAGTCAAAATAAATCCTCATTCGGCGCTGCCCGAGCTCAGCGCTGCTGCCCCAGTGGACCACGGTGGGCCACACCTGACCTTGTGCCTTTGTCGTCAACCTCGTCATCTTCAGGCCGTCCTAGCCGGAAGCAGCAGATCACTGCAGTCCCACTCAGTGCCTGCTCAGGGCACCCCGTCTGCAGTTAGGTGCTCCTCGCGCTTCCCAGAGAGGGGCTGGTGGGACACAGCCAGCAGCCGGCCCTTGTCACAGTGCTGTACCTCATCTTGCACCAGTGAGCTGGGTGTGGGATCGATTCACCAGTCTTTCTAGAAGTGACCTCTAAAGGCTGCGTCTCTTCAGGTGACTTAGAAAAGTTCAACGGGCCTGGTGGTGCACACCTGTAATCCCAGCGCTGAGGCAGGAAGACCACTGAGACTTCCAGGGCAGCTTGGACTACACAGTGAATTCAAGGCCAGCCTGAAATACATACATAGTGAGAGTCTGACACAACCAGTCAATCAACAAGAAAAAATAAATTTAAAAGTTCCAGTTTCTGAACTTGCCAAGCGTAGCCTCAGACTCTGGGATATGGAGCTGTCCCCGAGGACACCTTCAGTCACAGAGCCCGCTCCTTGGTTACAACTTCAGATGTGGGGGGCATTCCCTGGCCAAACCGGAAGTGAGTCTTAGGTTCCTTCCCTTCATTGGTTAAAACGTTTTTGTTTCTATTTTTTATTAGCACCCGTTTGCAGTATATAATGATTACATTCCTTGTGGGGAGCTGGTGCACGTGCAGAGCATTCCTCAATTCTTTTCTCTTTCCCTTCCCCCTCCCTCCACCTCTGGGTCCCCCTCCCGTTTGAGAATCATGTATCTTTCTACTTCCTGTTACCCGTGTTTTATTTTTCCCTTGGCTTGTATGTTGGGGTTCTCACGTGAGACAGACCCTGTGATGTGTAAGCTTGTGTGACTTATTTCACACCACATTATGGTTTTCCTACAGATGACTCAAGTTTACCTTTCCTTCTGGCAGAGTAGGACTCCACTGTGTGTAAACATCACATTCTCTTTATCCACCCCGCTGCCGATCGACCCCGAAGCTGCTTCCCCGATTCAGCTGTTGTGGCTTCTGCTGCTGCAGATGCGCCGATGTCTTTAACTTTGCTTAGAATCCCACCTCTCTCTTCTGGAACCTTCCTTTCTTTGCTTTTCCTTTCATCGGTTCCCACGTTTTCGTGGCCCAAGTTGGGGGTGGGGATGGCAGCAGACAGAGCAGATGTTCTGAGCAGCACGCAGTAAGAAAGGGAGCGGGCGCGGGTCCCCTCTCCGACAGCTCCCTGGGCCCAGCCTGGGTCTTCCTCCCCCGGACGTGGCGTTCTGAAACCCGTGTCGCTTTAGCGATCCTCCCGCTCCCTGTCTCGCCAGTCTTCGGCGGGTGGACACTTGGGGGTTTCTCCTTGTAGGCTCTAAGGAGTGAGTCTGCTCCAGGCTTTGTGTGTGAGTTTTGCGTGAAGACAGATTTTCCACTCTCTGGACAAGGACCGGAGCTGCGCGGTCCTACGGCGACTCTGTATTTACCTTTTCGGAGACCACCTGCTCCGCGGCTCCCCAGAGCAACTGCACCGTTTTGCATCCCCATCGGCACCGTGCGAAGGCCCGGATCCCCCCACACACACCCCAGCACTGACTGCGGCCCAGCTTTGGTCACGGCCATCCGGGCAGGTGTGCAGGGCTGTGACGCTGCAGCTCCGACTGTTTGCCTAGCGATCGTGAGGCTGAGCATCTCTCACGCGTCCGTTACCTGTTTGCAGGCTTATTCTTCAGAGACTAATATTACCCTGTATCTTCTCCCCGAGTGCCTTACCACAGAGCCCCAAACTTATGACACTCACTTTGGCGGCTTGCTGTGTGTCCCCCACCTTCCCCAAAGCATACCCTGTTTTCTTAACAGCAGAGTGAGGAGCCCTTCCCTCTTTACCACTGAGGGAGCGTTAACTGGATTTCTCTCAGTGTTCTTGAGGGTGAGGGGAAAGATTTTCTATCACACTGCTGCTGGAAATGTAAATTTCTAGACCCTTTCTTGGAAAGTAATCTGGATGGCAGTGTCTATTTTTTCAAAATCAAATGAACATTGATTTGAGCATAGTAATTCTACATTCAGGCTTCTACCTTGTAGGGAAAAAAAAAAAGGTGTGGGTTAGGATTTTTGACATGTGGAAATTTATTCTGGCACTGTTTGTCATTGCAAGAAATAAAATGGAAGCCACCAGAACATTAATGGATTAAGCAATGGCTTAAATATCTTTTGGTATGTCTATACCAAGAAATATGATGCAGTCCTGAAAAGGGAAGACAACATTGGATATATTGACCATGACAGACAACTATCGTGTGTAAAAGCAACCCAGAAATATTTCCAGTATAATCCAGTTTTTATAAAAGAAATGACAAATTCAACCACTATGTATGAATACTTGGAATACTTGCGTTTGTTTGTATGCAAAAAGTCGATAAACCCGATTGCAGGTGTTAGTCACCCTACACTCGAGGTGAGGGTACAGACAGGGAAGGAAAGGGGCTAAGAGAGATCCTTTTGAGTAGCAAGCACACGTTAAATGTGTATTATTATCCAATTTAGAAAAGAAAAGCAGAAGACCACACATCGATGTGTCTCTGAGCGACAGTGTCTGCTCACGCGGGAGCAGATGTCGGTTTTGTGTTTGAGCGAACTCTGCACGCTCCACACCTCTGCCTGCAGAGGAACGGTGGGGAGCACGGAGCGGAGGTGGGAGCGGGAAATGTGCGTCTTTTACCACCTCGCGACCCAGTGACTGACGGCTACGGTGGCCTGTAGAGAACCTTCAGTGGGCAGCACGGGCTCACCTGTTGCCTTTCGTTCACGTTCCGTGGGGAGACAGCATTTTCCTCACTGAACACCCAGAGATGTGGTGGCAAGCTGGTGGTCAAGATTTCTTCCCCCAGGTCTGCCAAACCCATTCTTTTCTTGTTATTTATGCTAGATTTCTTGGCAAAGACATCCTAGCTTTTTAATTTGGGGGTGAAAAGCATGAAATGCGATCACTCCGTGAAATGTTCAAATCTCACACCTTCCTGCAAGCCATCAGCATCTGGACCATGAGTCCTGACCTCAAGGCCTTTGAAGACAGCCAGCGCATGGCACTGCACAGAGGGCCACGGTTGTCGGAAGTGTCCTTCGGTCCTAGCAACACAGCCGCAGCAGGGGACGTTTTGGAAAACATTTGAAGCTCCTTGTCAGGCTTCCCAAGAGCCTGGCAAAGTCCTCTCATGTTCCAGTCGAATTCCCTTTGAAGAACTTGTCCATGTCCCCTTCCTCTGCCAACTGAATGTCGCCAGATCCCTGTCCCACGATGACGGTATCTGATCCAAGCAGCTCGCTGGTGTTTAATCCACACAGCTCCGAACTCCTGAAGCCCCTGGGAGATGTGCACCTCGCTGTGCAGTCAGCGTCCGTCTTGTGTCCACTTTACCCTTCCAGCCGACACAGCAGGACCTTGATGGCTGAACCGAGTCGCACCCAGAGGGCTGTTGAAGTGGGGAACACTTTCCGTGAGTGGACGCTGCGCCAGTGAATAAGATTATGAGGAGAAGTCTCTGCTTCCCTGTTCCACTTTCCAAACTAGGAGGCTCTGAATAATACCTGCTCAGAACAAGGGACCCTGTGTGCGGCAGCGCCCCGGCCACTGGGAGGGCTGTCTCCGTCTCCGTCGCTGTGGCCAGCACGGTCCTTTGCCCAGCACTTGCAAGGCAGCGGCCCAGGTGCTCTGGCCCTGCCTGGCCCACGACCCCCCATTCAGCCCTGTCATCAAGTGCAGTGGGGACTCCGGGCCATCAACTCCCTGCCCCTTAGACTGTGTTTGCATCTAGAGACAAGGGAACAAGTAAACAAGGAATTGCAGTAGCGTCCCCATGGGGACACACCCCACGGCCTCCAGGGGCTCCTGAAACCTATTGACCCAGTAAATGTGGTGATTTCCTGCACCCCTATACCCGCCATAAAGTTTAGCTCATAAATTGCGTGCAGTAAAAGATTAACAGTAACTAAATAGAATAACAAGCGTAACAATATACCTTACATAAAGCGTGAAAATGGTCTCTTTCTCCAGTTGCCTTAACTCCTTCCTCTTCCCTTCTCACTCCTGCTAGGAAATGCCCTTAGGTATTTGAACTTCCAGAGGCAGACAAGTTCAGACTCAAACCTTGGTTCCACCACTGATAAGCTGGACAATCGTTTCAGGAAGCCACTTGACATCTCAGGGCCTGTGAAGTGAGCATGAGGAAAGTCCCGGTGCTTCAGGAGTGTCTTTGTTCCACAGCTCGCTTGCTGTAATGTCAGCGCATGGGACGCCTTCGGGGAACGTTGGCGGCTAGTTTCGTAGCTGTTACCAAGTGAAAATTTTAGCTTTCACCTATGAAAAAAAATCCAGATGCAATGGTCCACACCTGTAATCTCAGCCACTCAGGAGGCTGAGGCAGGAGGATCACAAGTTCAAGGCCAGCCAGGCAATTCGGCAAGACCCTGCCTCAAAATAAAAAAAGTAAAGAGGGCTGGGGATGTAGCACGATAGTTAAAACTCCAGTACCAAAAGAGAAAAAGAAGAAACATACCTCTTCCTCAAAAAGTCTGAACACTGTATACACTTGTGTGTGTAAATACGTGGCCGGCTCTCTTGTTTTGTTTAAGAAGATGGAGTGCTTAGAAAATGAGAAACATTCCTGAAGTTTCTCGGTCCCAGATTCTTGCAACTCATGAGGATAAAGTGATTCCCATCTTAACTCTTCTTAAAAGTTGTCTCGGTCACACTCAAACTGGCAAATTAAACCCCTGGAAAGATTCCTTTCCTGCTGTCTTGCATTTAGAAATGTAAGCTAGTGACTGTAATCGTGCTGAGTGCCGGGGGCGATGGCGGTGTATAAATACAGCCAAAGCAGCTACAACTCACCAAACACCTACTGCGGACCAGAAAGTTGAGGGGCTCGGCGGGACATACTGCGCTTCTCCTGCATGGTCAGGTCGCTTCCATGCCCATTCCGTAAGAAAACTAAGGCGTAAGGGTGGGAATCACCCTCCAGGCCACCTATTCAGTAAGTGAGGGAGGGTTAGGTCCACAGCCCAAGCCCCCAACAATCTCTCGAGAAAGGGCCCAGAAGTAAGTGCTCATTCCTGTCTAGATAAAAGGAGTTCCTTTGAAATACAAAATATCTTTTCTACAGGAAAGAGATCAACGTTTTCAGCTTTATCTTCTAAATATTGGGAAGCTGTCATTCGCATTCTTACCTCATTTCTTTTTATCTTCCTGAAACTCTTGCACTTTTTCTCTTCCATGAATGGTCAGATCTCTGGCGTGTCGTCTGTCTGTCTGTCCGCTCTGGACGAACACTCTCAGTGACCGGGTTCACGGTGAGCTTCTCCCGAGGCTGCTCATAGCAACCCGGAGCTCGGCTTCAGTCTTCTGAGCGGAACTTTGCATTCTTTCCGCGGTGGTGTGACGAAGGCGTGTCAGCGCTCCCGTCTTGGCGGGAGGGTGAGGACTGTAGCTCCAACAACTTTTCTTCCTCTTGTCTTCACACAGATCGGCTTGTTTTAGGAAATATTTTATCATTTTTAATGTTTAGCCCTCAGGTAACTGTAATCTCCTTTTCCTAAGTAAGGCTTTTCCCTTCATTTTTATGGAGCAGACCAAGCATCAGTGATTAACTTTCTGTCCCACCTGACTCCTTCCAGAGAGCTCACTTTTCTGTATCGTGTCCTCTTTGCTCTTCCCCCAACCCATCCTGACTGCCTGCAAGGGTTACAGACATACAGGTAGCTTTCTGAGGGGAAAGCGGATTCTTACTTCAGGCACAGGGGGATCCAGGCGCTATCACTGCATCTGCTTTCAATCTCCTGGCCCTGCTTTTCCTCCATACTGATTCTTCACCCCAATGTGAGCCTCCACGCCCAGTGTAGCAGCCAAGTCTGTCTCTGCTTCTGGATGGACCCTGTGGGTTCATACAACACAAAGGGTGTGATTCTGTCCTCATCAATTTCACAAAAGGACCAGAATTTATTTTAATCAGTCCAGCTTAGGTCGTGTGTCCAGGTAAAAAGCCAGAAGCTCCACAAGAGACTAACAAACTGAGGTGGCGTGGTCAGCAGCCACCCAGGCCAGGGCTCAGAGCTGCAGTGGCGGTGGAGTTCTGATGAGCTGGTGAGAGCGTTTCACCTGCTCTCTGCTAGCGAGGCCATGGTTTCCCTCTGCTGTCGTCTCTAAGTGCTGAAATCTTCACTGTAAAGCAATATGTTGACCCTTTTTTAGAAAGTCTCCATGGGAAGATGTGGTGTGTGTGCGTGTGCGTGCGTGTGTGTGTGCTCCAGAGACTTCCGCTCTGACTGTGAAGCTCTTAGTTACCACTGACCCATTCGGTTCCCAGCCAGGAGATGAGCAGGAAACAAAACAGAGAGAAATCGGCTGATGCTTTCGCAATTTTGAAAAGCCCTCCCTCATTCGGCCTTACAGCCTCTCCTTTTTGTCAGTCCTATCCTCTGCCCGGGGGGCACAGATGGCCGGGGCTCGTCTGTATTCACTCTCAGGCTTCCGCACCCCGCTTGCTCACCTGCCTGCCGCTACTCGGTCCGTCTGTCCGTCGGTCCGTTCCTCACCCCTTTCCTGTCTCTCACCTTCCCTCATCCTGGACTCCAGAGTCCCGGTCCGAGCCAAGGAGCAGAGCAGGAAGGGCAGTGCCCTGGGCGGCGACTTCCTCGGGTCAGGGTCTCTGGCCCCATCTGAGCTGTTCGCTGCTCCTGCTCCACTCCCAGAGAGGACACCGCGTCAGCCCGGAACCTGCCAGTGCTCGCACCTTGTGTTTGTCCTCGGCTCAATCCGCGGCGAGATGCTGGTTAGGGCAAAACGTGTGTGTGCGATTCTTGCCACACGTTCACGTGCAGTATAAGTGCAGCGGAGAAGTCCGGGTTCCTCCTCCCTCTTCCTCTGTCCCCTCCTGCAAGCTGAGGCTAAGAAGTGCCTGCCTGCAGTGCGTGATATAATGGGGTCGGAGGCAGGGAGAAAATCTTGACAAACCCTCCGTGTCTGGCAGCAGAGCCCTGACTTAGCAAGTGAAAGGAAAAGGCGCCGTGCTGGATTGTTCGCCGGACTTTCCCTTCAGCGTTCGTGCGGGAAGGAGCTATAAATAATTCCGCTTCACAAAGGAGGAAATTCAGAGATTTTTAGGGACTTTCCCAACGTCACATAGCTGATCAGTCGTGGCTCCCGATCTTTAATAATTTCAGAATTGTAGCTATTGCCCCTACATATTGCCCTGCTTTATGAAAAGAAGGACCTAGACAAGAAGGCAGAAGGACGCGGGTGTCAGCGAGACGCCCCTGGGGAGGCGGAGGCCTCGGCCAGCCTGGCGCCTCTTGCTCCACTGGGCTGGGGTCAGCCGGCTTCCTTGGGTCAACACCTCCTCTTCCGGACTTGAGTAGAAAATTTCTGAGTATTGCCTTTTAAACTCTTCAGTTCTGTTAATGATTTAGGCAGTAAAACATTACAGTTCAACAGCCTGACGTTTAGGAATTGGCTCAGCTCCTCGCCAGTTTCCTGGGCAGCCACGGGAAGGTACACCAGCCTGTCTGTGTCCATTTTCTCCCTCGTGAATAACAGCAGTAGCTACCACCGTGACATTTAGTAAGCACTTACCATGTGCAAGGCACTGTTCTATGTACTTTAAAAATATTGACCCATGTCCCGCCACCTGCCTTGTAAGCATGAGGACCCGAGTTCAATCCCAGGTACCAAAAAAAAAAAGAGCAAAAATATTGACCCATGTAATCTTGGTAACAAAATTATGAAATCAATCATATCACTCACTGCTCTAGAAGGTTGAAGCAGAGAAAAATGAAATAACTCGGATTCAAGTCCATGTTCTAACACAGTGCTTCTCAAACGAATGACTTTGGTCCCTCAGAGAGGATCTGCCAGTGCCTACAGAGCTATTGGGCTGTCCCGGCCTCTGCTGGGGATCCTGTCATTCACAAGCCAGATCCCCATCGGAAAGCATGGCCTGACCCCAGAGGTCCACAGCACCAGGGTGGGCCCTGTTCCAGCTCCCGGGCCCAAGCTCTGGGCAGCTGTCCTGTCTGCCGCAGCGGCAGTTGTGGCAGCTTCGTGTGGAGGTAAAGGAGCTGGTGGAGACTGCAGGTCCCGACTGCAGTGCCCAGCAGCTAGCAGCTCTCCAGAAGTGGCCCTTCCTCCCCACCGGCCTCTCCTTCTCCTCTTCCAGGAAGATTGGGACAGAAAATGTGTACTCGGGGACTTCTGCCTGGGGACAGCACAGCCCCTGCTTGCCTTGTGGCCTCTGTGTATCAAATGCTCCGAGTCCATTATTCCTCTGGAATTTCCTGGCCTGTTGAATAACCTCTGTTTATGTTTATGTTGACAGTCGATCTGGGAATAAGCATCCAGAAGGATAATGTGGCCACTTCTTCCCCGAAGACAATGGAGATCGACACTGTGGCGGATGCCAGTGGAAAGAATCTGGGAAAAGAGGCCAAACCCGAGGCCCCAGCTGCTAAATCTCGTTTCTTCTTGACACTCTCTCCGCTTGTACTAGGACGTACCGGAGACCAAGACACAGATTCATCCACTGCAGCAGCGAAGCTTGATGTCAGCTCCAACACAGCCCTGGCGAACAAAGACCCAAGTGACAGCCCAGCCCTGCTTGGAGCAGCTGCACTGGGGCTGGCCACGGATAAAAGCCCAGGGCTGAGCCCAGCCGGGGACCAGGCCCTCCCGGCCACCGGGGCGCAGGCTCCTCTCCCACCTGAGTCCGTGTGTGAGGCCGCCTCCAAGCGCAAGGATTCCAGCTTTTTCGACAAATTTTTCAAACTGGACAAGGGACGGGAAAAGGCAGAAGCTGAAGACCAGCAGGAAGCCAGGAAGGTGGAGCATCCAGACACCAAGGCCGAGGAGGCCCCGAGATTGTCCCGGGTGTCCCGCGGGGTCCAGACAGGGGAGGTAAGTGTGCAGAGCGGCTCTCCGGTTTTGTGGCCTGTGCGCACAGGGGGACCCTGGTGGGGTGAGACCATGCCACACAGGTAGCCCTGCAGTCACCCAGGTAGTTCCTAGACGAGGTGTCAAGCTCCTGGCCCCCCTAGAACGAATCGCAGCCAACTGGCGTCTCCCCCAGTGTCCCCATGGGCAGCAGCATCTGTTTGAAGAACAATGACAGCCATGGCTTGTGTTTTATGTCAAAGAAAAGCAGAGGTGAGGTACACACAGACAAACCCATCCTGCCATTTATCAAAGGCTGAGGCAGACAGGTTGCATCTGTGATCAATGCAGTCTGGGCAGAAAGGCATTAGTGGAATAAAAATGGTTCTGAAAGACTTAAGTACCCAGCCCCATCTCTGCAGATTGTTTAGCATACAGTATGTCTGCAGCTTTAGTGGGGACACTTTTCATTCCTTGCTCCTAATAGCCTGGGTGATCTTTTCCTTTTGCATCAATATGCAGGTTTACAGGTCTAGGCAGACTGCTTTAGGTACTAATTATTTTCCAGCAAGCTAGAACAGTACTTTTATAAAAACTAGATGTATTTTTCAAGGAGGAGTCTTGAGTCAGTTGTTTTCTTTCTTGAGCAAAGAAATATTTTGATATTTTTAAAAAAGCATTTAGCTTTGAAAGAGCGTGTATATATTCTTGAATGTAGAAAGAGATAAAATTGATACACTATTTTTAAGGCACTTGATTTTTTTGTTAACAGACTTTTAAATAACAATTTTTTCAATATTGAGGAATAAAGTTGAGTACCTCTGGTTAATTTAGAAAGAGGAAAAATTATATTGGGCTAAGTTTTTTACAGTGTGGTAGCTTATCGCTGTTGACAATGTTTTTGGTCTTAAGAATGTAACTGTATACTCCCAAGATGCTAATAATAACACTGGATATCATTATTGAGTGCTTATCATAGGCCAGGTTCTGTTCTAAGCACTGAATATATAATATTTTACTTAATGAAAATGAGTGTCACATTAACCTGTGATTTTAATGCACCCAAGGTAGCATCAAGAATTATTGGGCTGGGCCAGCGATTTAGCTCAGGGGTGCCACCACCTGCCTCATAAGTGGAAGGTCCTGAGTTCGATCCCCCCACCAAAAAAGCCCAGGAAGAATTACACTGTGACTATTAGAACCAGCTGAAAACTATGGGCAGTTACAATTGTGTTGAGGTTGTTACTGTCAGCATTCTTGCTGTTTCTGTTAATTTGGACTCCAAAAGTTTTATTTTCAAAATTTCCTTCAGAAGGTTAAAAGGTTTCCCTGCAGATGCCATGTCCCAAACTGTACCAGTTCAAGGAGCCGATTAAATAGCTGTTGCATGCATGATTCAGAAGTGGATCTTCAGGTGCATACAAGCCTCAGCTCTTTCTGAGTGCGACACTGGGCCAGGCATGGGTGACAGGTGGCACCGTGGTAGTGAATAGGGCACAGAGCCTCTGCTCTTGTGGGGTATGCTGTCCAGTGAGGGACAGACGATGAACAAATACAGCTGCAATGGCCAGTCAGGGTGCCACAGTCTCCGCCGGAAGGCAGGGTGTAGAGAGGGTACCCGGAGAGGCAGCCTCGCCACTCCCATCCCATCAGAAGGAAAAACCAGGAGCCTGGGCGTCTCTTGTCTGGAGACTAGAAAGTGGCCATCAGTATTCATGACTATTTCAGAAAATGTTTACTACCTCTCCCTGAGTAGAGAAACTGTTGAGTTTTAATTAATGGTCATGGGCTCCTAAAGCTATTCGGTAGTAGTGAGTTTTTAGATCCTCAGCACTTCTTTGGCGTGGCCACCCAAGGCCCATCATTGCCTGAGTTAGGAAAGGTTGGAGTTGTTTACAGGAAGAGACTGGAGGACTGTACTTTACCCATCTCCACACGGTTGTCCAGCGACTCATGCAAACCCCTGTCCTAATTAAGCAAACCAGGCCAGCATTCGATAGCCCACCGTAACCACCAGCATATGCCATCCATTTCTGTTGTAAGGAAAGGAGAGGAAACCCTTAGAGTTGTGATTTGTTAGCTCATCTGCCCTTCCTGGGGGTGTGGGAGGCACCTGTTTGAATGGAATGAGTCTCAGGATAAGAGTTGAATCAGAAGGTGGCACTTCTGTGGGAGACAGAAGTATCTAATACCTGGAGTGGTATTTTCAAGTTATAATAATCTCTCAGAGTACTGAAAAATTGTCTTCATTTTTAAAGAAGTGGGCTAGATCCCTCAGACTGACTAATGAAATCTGCATCTGATTTTGCTGCACTGCAAATTTCCACTTTTAATTGGTGGGATCATCTGAATTTGAAATAGTGAATATCCACCCTTTGTTATGTACAAATAAGACACTAAAAAGTTAGGAAATACCCACTTCTTCAGCCCATGAACTTGTGACTATGCACTTACCTACATCTGCCAGGATTTTTTATATATATTAAAAAAATAGACCTCCGATTTGTTAAGCTTTCTCATTGGAACCCTGGCTGCACCGTTCTGTATTTGGGGCTCATGACAGTTGTGCTGTAAGTGGCATGAGACAATGCAGCCCTCAGAAAGTAAAATGAATAAGACTTCTCAATCAGTGGCTTTTTTGGTGGGAGGGCCACATTATGCATAGATGGATGTCAATGTATTGATTCAGAATTCTTAGGGTAAATTATGCCTGGGCCGAGCCGGTCAGCTGTCGTCCCCTTCCTACCCAGACCAGCCCGTCCCCCACTTTCACCGCCCACCCCTCTCTGGTTTGGAATTCCAACCACAAAACCAGAGCTGTGAATTAGGAGCGAGATGCCACCATTTCATCCTGGGGGAAACACACAAATCTTCTGTGTTTTCAGAATGACAATCTTATTTTTGTGCCTCATAAACCTACATTCAGAGCATAGCATAATTAAAACAAGGCAAGAATTCACAAACAAATGAAGCATTTACTACATAGGCCAAAGAAAAGATAAATTCTACGCCTGAAAGGTTTCACTGAGCTGCGATTCACACAAACCAATGTGCTGGCAGGGTGAGGGTTCCCTCCCCACCACAGCTGAGCCAGTTTTCTAAAATGAGTGTTTAAAAGGTTCATCATACACACTCACACAAGTGATCATGCAGTGGAAATTTGAGCTTTCTTGGTTAAAAGAAAAAGCACACCAAGCCCTGTTATCCATGCATCTCTTCCAGAGGAGTCTGTGTTGGGGGTGGGGCGTGCCTAATATGTCGCAATGGTACAGTTTCATAGAACACTGCTTTTTTTTTCTCTCTGCAAAATTCAGTGATGTACTTCATCACCCGGTGCAAGGCATGCAAGGTTAAACATGTTCCCAGCCTTTGAGGAGCAAGTCATCTAGTAAGAGACATCATGTGTAAGGGATGCTGTGTTAGGCACACCAGCCCTCAAATTCACTCAGGCAACATTAGAAGTATTAAGTACCATCCTCAATGAATCTGCGTCCTCCCCTCTTTTCTCCCTTGAATACACTTGCTTCAGGCTTTGGTCAAAGCCACCGTGATGTTGCACCTCCCTATTTCCCTCATCGCAGCTGCCAAATCCCCTAAGTCTCACTGCAGAGCCAAGTGGGTCTGATCTTGGTTGACTCTGATGTGGTGGCCCCTCCTTCCTTCCTGAAGCATTGTCCTCACTGGGTTTCTAGTCCCCCGGGCCCTGGGCACTCTCCCCCCACATCCCTGTTGGATCTTACCATCCCTGTGTTGGAGTGCCCAAGGTCTCATTCTTAGATGTCTTCCCTAACTACACTCACTTCCTTGAAGGATTCCCTGCTCCCCAGTCCCTAGGTTTAACCTTAGCTCTCTGCTGTAGTGTCCCCGATGCACTCTTATCTCTCTTGTCTGCATGTATCCCAGTTGCCTCTTCCACGTGTCCGCTTGAAAGTCCACACCTCCACACCCATATTCACTGAACAACCCAGCAGCAGCCTGTCCAAAACTGAGCTCTCTGTGGATCACCCGACCACAACTGGTCCATTAGCTTAGCCCCCAGGTGTCCTCAGTTCAGCGGACAGCAAAATCATGCCCTGCCATTGCAGATAGTGGTAGAATTGGACTCAAACAACCATAGTCTCAAGAGTGCTTTTCTACATGGTATTGAACAGTGAATTGAGACCTAAGTCCTGTCATCAAGTAGGCTAGGTTTACACTCTGCCGGGCATCTATTGGCTGTGCACTCTTAGGCAACCTACTTTGCTTCTCTGAGCCTCATTTTCTTCATTGGCAGCACTATGGTTTAGATCTAAACTGCACCCGAAGTCACATGTGTCTGAAAATTGAGTGGATCATGAGAGCACTGTGTGAATCAGTGGATCTATCCATTGATGAGTTCAGTAGCTGAGTTGCTCTTGGGAGGTGGGGCCTGGTCAGACAAGGTGGCTCCCTAGGGGCGTGGCCAGGAGGGGTGTGTTCCTGTCCATGGCCCCTCCCTCTCTCACTGCTTGCTGGCTGCCATGATGTGAGCAGCTTCGCTGTGCCAGGCCCTTCTGCCATGAGGTTTCTGCCTTGGAGGCAGCTGGCTATGGACTGAACCCACTGAAACTATGAACCAAAAGAAACCTCTCCTGCTTTTAATTGCAGATGTTAAGTATTTTGTCCCAGTGATGGGAAAGTGACTAATATAAAGTAAGGATAATGATAGCATTAGCACATTTCAACATCATTTACACTTGTGAAAGTTAAATTACATAAGTCATGTAAAATATTCAGAACTGTATTTTGAAAAAGAAAAGCTAGCTGGTTTTAGTGACATGGTTTTCCTCCCTGCCTACTACTCCAGTTTTAATCTTGTTACCTCTGATCTCCATAGTTCTTAACCATAACTGTCAAAGATAGCATTGTTAAATCTAACAAGAGGCACATAACTTCACGGAAAGGGTACAGAAGTTGTGAAGTTATTTCCAAATTTGCATTTCCGTACTCACAAGCCTGATTCCTTAGTCTGACATTCAAGGGTTTCTGGAGCTTTTCCTATGTCT